TATTTGATTTTAATTGCATCACGTATTGCTGTTAATTTTTTCAAGTTAGACATGACATTTACCTACACTTAAAGAGAATACAAAATATTTTTTTTCAATTGTGTTTGTATATAATCAAGCGAGGGTAGCGTGCAATAGCAACAGTGGCGCAGTAGCTTGTCGATCGTGAGTCGGTCAGCCTCACAGAGTCCCGCGGTTCAGCGCGGTCCTGCGACCTGATGGAAAGTTTGCGTGTCCCACACAATTAGTGGTGACGTGCATGGAGTGCGGCTGTGACCGAAAAATAATTACATTACTGCCGAGGATAAGTGACGAGGTAAATGGAAACTTATTGTACGAAACTAATGGTTGCCACTTGGCACCCTTGACATGGCTTCTGCGCTACATAAATATATTTTTCTTCAGTCGAATACAGCGATGTCATCTAAGTGCAATTTTACTCAACATAATTTCTATATCTGACATTTGCACATGGAGAAAATGTAAAATGTCACATAAGTAGGTTAGTATTTACAGATGCAAGTGTGGGCGCAAGGAGCGAGGAGCGAGGCTCACTTGCGCGGCAAACGTTATTCATCTATGATACCTTTGATACGCTGCAGGCTGCACAGATATGCTCATATGGTTTATAAATATCTCTTTATCTAAGATGCCCAACATGTCGTGTACCTAGGTTTGAACCACGACACAAGTCCCACGCTTTGATTCCTTACCTTAAGTAGAAGGTACAAAAGAAATAGACTGATGTGTCAAACGCATTGTTAAATTTTAAATGATATCCGCTCATCAAAGGTCGTCTCGGCAATTATGTCATATCGAATGACCTACTTTTACTTCATTAAGCTTTAGCAATATTATCACTACTCGAGACAAAGATGACCCACTGACCCTTTACTGGCTTGAAAACTGATCGTAAAAGAATTTTCCCTTTGATGGGGCCCGCAGAAAATGTTTTATGATGAGAAAGAACAGAGAGCCCCAACAAAAGCCAGGGAACAACCACAAAGTGTATTATTTAAAGCTATTTAACTATGAAACATCTGTACTGTGTACCTGCTTCTGACGTGCTGACCAGCGCGAGCGCCAGTACTAGTACTCTGTAAAGCTAACTTTGTTTCGTAAAAATGAATTAAAATAAATAACTCTGCGAAATTTATTCATAACACAAGTTCCTGAAAGCAGTGCTCACACTATAACTCGCACCGGTTGCGCGGCTGTGGTACCTACCCGTAAACTCTATCGGAAAATAGGAACGAGTTCAGGTCCCGCACCGTTACTAGTTTCAAATGATTCTCGTAATTGAGCTGTCAGCGAAGTAATTGTTTCTGGCATTGCATTCGCGGGAGAGTTGGTCGCTAACACGTGCAAATTTCAAAACGAATATAACAAGAGTTTTAATTAAGCCGGCACGTGCACTAAAAATGGAAGCAGTTCGAATTACAAAGCTGTCGAAGTCGGAAGTTAGTTAACAGTCGCAATTCGCAATTTTAACAAACGTGGCTCGTGTGGCCGACGGTTAAATCATTACAAGCTGGAGTCACTGGGGGGCATGGAGGGGGACTATGAAAGGGAATTGCTCCAATCACCCGATTGCCTCATCCGCCTGTTAATATTCTATGAATTAAAGCTGGCAACTTTAACTCCCTTCGGGTTCGGCAGTGTGTTGAGAGTGGTTTGATCCTGTCTCCCACGAACGAGCAACTTACTTAATTGGTTTTCTGATAGACGGTACAAGCGCTGTATTACGTCGCCTCGATTTCAATGGAGACAAAGAAATATAAATGATTCGAAATCAGAGCTCGCGGCTCGCGGCTCGAGGCTCGAGGCTCGAGGCTCGAGGCTCGTGGCTACTTCGCGATATCAATCATCTTGCGGTTTCTACTATATTATATTACCTCTGTATTCGTATATAATAAAGAACAAAGTGTGCACACATATACAGCATAGATGCACGTCCGTAGCCCGCGACTCCACTGCGACGAGTATATTAAAATGCAGCGAAAACTTTAAATTACTCTGAGATTAACTCTTACCTCGACTGCTTATATTAAATCTCTAAATTTTATTAAACTTTTTCTATGAAATAAAGTTTTTACAACCACTTAGTTTAAACTGAAAAATTATAACCACAAAGTAGTTATTTGTGTAGCTATAAGTACAGTGTGTATATTTTCATGAAGTGTTGTGTGTATGTTTGTGTGTACGTTGGCAGCGATCGGGAACTGAAGTGCGACCATTATCGGCCGTTGTGTACACAGCAAACACGGCGAGCGTTTTATTGTCACTTACCATTCCTAGCACATGAATAAATTCTATGTTCTAACTTCAACGACAACAATACATCAATTTGGTTTTTGCTTTGTAAATTGATACATATTTTGTAAATTTCTTATTGCAGTGGAGTATATCCGAATTAATAAAAGTAACTTATTACAGTTAAAATGTCTGGTTTCATAGTTATGTGTACATATGTATATGTTTTCTGACCACATCATAATATGTGTGCTAGCCACCCATTACATTAATATTGCGGCGTTTGTGGCGAACAGGTGTATCTACTTCAATCTATCTGATTTTTATCAGAGCTGAAAATATAGTAAAGCATTTCGACAGTAAGGTAATATAATAAAAAAACATGTAATAATTAGGCAGTATGTGTCGCCTACATTGGCACCGTGCCACTGCTTGCCACCAATTTACAAAACTTTTTCACCAAAACCTGGTTTAAGCAGGTCTGCCAGTCCCTGAAACTTTAATGTTGCCACTACAGATCATTAGTGACGTCATTAAACTTTCAAATGTTGGTTTATCCAGCCGCCGGAGTGGGGAAGTTATGCATAATTTACACACGTAAACAGTCTAGTCTCGGATTGGTTTACAATTTGATAGATAGTGACGGTGATTATGTCATTTGGACGAAAATAAAGCAGGTGACCTTTTATGCCTGTCGAATTATCCTTTCTCAGTACAAAATAAAATTTCTTTACCATTTGTCTGACCCTGGAGGCTCCTTCATCTATCATTCTAATCTAAATGCACCACAAAAACATTGGCCCATCAATTGTTCGCCTATATTTCTTTTCTTGATGGAAACATTAGTAACAAGGGTGTAAATTGCACGTTTCAATAGAAGCGGTACCACCTGTCGCCATTTCTGTTTAGCCAAGGGACGACACGATCTGCCTCATCCTGCGTGACTGACCCAAGGCCCCGAGGATCCAAACGTGAAGGAAACCGGAATGAACGGTGTAGTGAATACGAGATATTACTTAATAATGGACATAAGTCGACGATGTTAAGCACAAAACGTGTGTATTGAAACGTGTATATGTATAGTTTTGTTTCATGTGATAATCCCGCCACCACCTCCCAAAACCTGTTGCAACTCCTGTGAGCCAGGTTCTACAGCACATACAACCATGAAAACACCGGAACTCTGAAGTCCGGCGCGTCCCAGGGACATAAATGACTATGTTAGATACCGCAACGAAATAAATCAGAAGATATTATTTGAGGAGAAGAAAAATTATATAGAGTCCACTTATATCAAAAATAGAGACAGAAAGTTTTAGGTTTACCTTAAAGGCACAAAAGACACTGTATGTACAACTGGGAGAAGCCCAGCCACCAAACAACCAGTCCTGCATAGATTAGCGAAAAACGACAAGTCAAAGCAAAATCATAATAATGATGTGAGTTAGATTACCTCATTTAACGGTCAGCCACCCATTTGTGACTCGAACAGTGTCGCAGGTATCCAAGGACGATGCAGATAGCTTACCACACAGTGACCTATCCCCCAAAAATATTAGAGGACATGTTAATTAAATTACGTGCACAAGCCGAGTATTTGAACAACAAAGTGCACCGAGACTAGTTGATTGATCAATCAATCACAGCCCCGCAGCTAGTTATGTCCCGTCACGCTATTTCTAGTGTTAGCTCCGCCAGTTAGCCGGCCACCATCTAATGATTACTGACCATATACGTTTTATGGACGACCATTGTGACTTGACACGCTGCAAGTACCCATCAAAACGCTATAAACCCCTATTTCGCTGGCACGTACTTACTATACATACATACACACGGACTTTGGACATGATTTATGTGTGATTATATTAGCGAGGTCACTAAACGGTCTTACTATTGTGATTACACGTTGTGACGTAACAAACTGCTTGCAGTGTCGCTAAAACTTGCATTCAAATCTTGTAATTATACACGTTGTCACTCAGATTGATGATTGCATGTAGAATGCGTCCTGCACTGGTGTTTTTTTTAAAGCCCCAGCCCCATCATGCAAGTATTGCAGTGCCTTTAGTGGGCAGGCAGGCGCGTGCCGCCGGCCGCCGGCCGGGCCGTCATTTGCCGTGATTGTTAGAAATGATTACACTGCATTTACAGATGTAAATTGCGTCCGACAACATTTTCATAAAACCAGAAGTAGGTATTTTCGTCTCGGAGCCTGACATATAGAGACGGTCAATTAACTACGCAACACAACAGTTATTTACACACTTTGTCACATTTCAACGATTACCAAAGCCCAGTTCGTAATTTTTGGAAAAGTTATGTTTGTCATCCTGAAGTTTGCCTGCCCGAGCAATCGCCGACGGCTAGGCGGCTTTGAAAAGGCGCCAACTTCCGGTTTTGTAAAATTTTCTACCACCCCACCTTGTGGAGGGAAACGTAGTTAAGAGTGCCTGTAGGTATTTAACATTAATAAACAGTTATTGGTGTTTAAATATAAAAAACCGTTTAATATGTGATTGCTAGTAGTAAGTACGTAATAATAATTAGTAGATAGTGGGGCCGCGCACACACGCGCAGCCTGCAGTTGCATCTGTGTAGGCAGTGTAGGCAGCAGCCGAGCGCAGCGTGTTAGCTCGCTTGGTCGTGTCGGCGCCGGCGGGCGCGGCCATGTTGCTGTTTCACGTCTACCAAATGGGCGGGGTCCAGGTCCACACTAAGACAATAACGCTGTATGTTGTGGGCAGGTGTGCGGCGGATCCCGCGCGAGGCGCGCGCCCTGCGCACGCGCGAAGCAACAGATAGCAGCCGCCGCCCCGCCGCGCTCTCGCTGCCTCGGTTATCGCGCGCTCGCCGTCGCGCTGGCCAGACGTGTATGCCTCCGGTCTGCCGCGACGCGAATCTCTTCACTCTTCGCGCGATACTCTAGCTCGTAGTTTTCTTCGTAATCTTAAGGTACGTATCCTGATTTTTTAACTTTTATTTTTTTTTATTTTCACTTTTTTCCAGCGGGTTGGAGTAATGTTAGGGTGCCGTCGGACACGGTTGGGATTGTAATTTTTAGGCGAAGAGAACGGCAATTTGAATTTAAGATTCTGCGGGTTAGTTTGGGGCTACTTTATGTGACGATCCTTTGAATTGAAAATAGCTGTATTCACTAATTCTGATTTAGTTACAGTCTTAAATATTAATTCCATTGCTTTGGCAAAACTTAAAACCAAAACTTGAAAAGAACTTTTCCCGGTAACTCCGAGCTTTCGTTTAATATTTTATCATTATTTAGTGTCGATGAATATGAAGTTTCACATATTATGATGATGTAAAATTTAAGTCTGTAAATGCGACTTAATAAAAAACCTTTTCACAATGAAAAAAAGAAAGATCCACATAAAAAAATCAGAAATAGAATTTTGGATACAGTTAAAATATATTTTGAGTACCTAAAGATCATGGAAACTCAGATATAAGTTATCTGGAAGTGAACTAACGGTATTGGGAAAATGACATTGTTAATTTGAGACTGTCCGTTTGTGTGCCGAATCTTGGTCGAATCAGAGAAACCGGCAAAGTTAGCTAATAGCCGGCCACTGGATTGCCAGCCGGAGACCACTTAACGAGCTGACTGCCGACTTACCGCCGAGACCTCATCGAGCTCACAATTACATTGACGCAGGCAAATTGATTAATTCCACCGAATATTACTTTATGATTCTATTCTGTTGCCGAGATTTTGCGTTCAACTTCACGAAACTCGTTTATTTTATTAATTTGTCGTTTAATGGGCCGCGGCCTGTACTTACTCCGACGGCAAACTCTCTAGTTGCTACTTTCGGTCCGTTTGCGGCGAGATAAAGAAAATGGGAAATTCAACAGTTTCTATTTTGCGGGGTTTGAAATGTTAAAGGTGGGAGGTGAAGATTATTTATTTCTTTGTGAAGATCCTTGAAATGAAGGACATAAGATTGAAATAGTTTAATTTCAATTTGGGAGCGTTTGTTCTAAACAGATGGAGACGACAAAGCGTTTGCTACTGTGTGATGGATGGAATTTTATAGATTGGTCCTTGTGTCGGCACAATTTCATTGATTTATAACGAAATAGAAAGCCGTACAAATAGAATAAAGCCTGCGCTAGGCTTTGTAGCTCTTACTTTTAAGTAATTTTTACGACAAAAACAAGTTTAACAAAGGACTATTTTATTATTAAGCCGCGTATTCCCGTCTCCCGCTGCTTCTCATGTGGTCGACTATTTTCAAAGTCTTTTTTTCGATTCCCGGGCCTTATAAAAGTTTTTAAAGATTTTTCTTGACAACTTATATCGATATTAGATTGGAGCCTGAAAATTCACGGTACTTTTTTCTCGCGGCTCGGAAACGTGGCGCGTAAAGCCGTCGGCGGCGATTCCGGAGATTTATGTCAGAAACCCAAAAGTTTGACAACGGGTCTAACCAAGGAGGCCGGTATCATTCCTGTTGTGTAGCCGAGGGCAGATGGCAATCGCTCCCTAATATACTGTACCTCTGTTGAGGACCGGCGGTCACAGCTACTTAGCCGGCTCAGAACATTGGGGGAAAGTTATGTGAACTTTACAATAGTTTAATACAAGTATAAATAAATATTTGTAAACTATATGACTGCTAATGTCGGGGTGGTTTCGAGGTTAAGGCGCACGCTTGTCATGGATGAGAAAACCTGGACTTTTTTATAATTATAAGTTTTCACTTAGCCGCTTTAAACAAACGTAGTGATTAAAAAGCTCACTTCACCCTTGAATGAGAAGAGGCTTTTGATTAGTGGGCACTTGTAGGCTGATGAATTATGGCTGATAGCATAGCATTTTACGGGCTTTATCCGAATCATTTAGCAAATCCTAAGGTTGATCGGAGGAATGTATTGAATTTGACGACAAGAGCTACACTTTACTTTTATGGGTTGGCGTCTCATGTCGCTGCATTCAATTATGAATAATTATTGGAAGACGAGCACGCCCTCTCCCGCTCAATCGATGTTATGATCCATAAATAAAATGCCGATCGTCCGATAGACAGTTGACTAATGCCTTCCCTCGTAAAACCCGCTGCCACAACGAACCTACTTAAACATGTTCAGCAATAAAACTGCCTTTAATACTCTATTATGGCTTTATTGCTAAATATGAGTTGTCACGGCCGCGGCACCTTCTCCGCCTCCGACGCTACTGTTCCAGCACTTATTTACTCAATGTAATCAACGTTTGGTCGGCAACTTTGCACCTAATGTAGCAAACAGATTAACAATTTTAAGATTTCAGCCAGCATTATATGATAAATAGTAACGTGGAAAATAGAATATCTTTAAAAATGCTGAGACGTACAACTGTAGGATTGTTTTCGTGGATAACGGACTTAAGTAAGTCAAAAGTTTTTGCGTTTATATCAAAGAAAATAGGATTTTGTAGATTCGTGAATCCGTAATCAGTATTACCTGGCGGTGTTTTGATTGTGAGCCTGTGAGGGCATGCCGAACTTTGCAGGGCATTCATTCGTAATGAGGCTGTTACATATTCATAACCCGCCTTCTTATTCTTGTAGATATGTGTGCGTGCGCGGGACGCGGGGTATACTGTACCCGCTGACAGCCTATTGTTAACCTAATAATATGAGTTCGAAGTACTTGGAAGTAGTTTCGTGTTGAAGAGCTTCGCGACTTTAACAATAATTTAAAGAAGTTAGGTTCACTTCAGTAGGAGTGGTAGGTACGGAGAAGGTACTTGAGAGTTTTCGGTTAATCAATCTCACAAATTAACAAGTTAATCCTAAGTAGAGTGATTTATTAATTGGCTCGGCAACCAGTTGACTTATTAAACAACATTCTATAATTTTATTTACAAGTTAAATATTAGAATTACGTCACTTCTGATTATACTAAACGAGCTTTAAAGCAGTCGGTAGCTTGTCATTTAAAATATATAGAATACACTACAGGTGAAATTTTTGTGACAAACCAGTCTAGGTTATATAATAAAGCTATACCCGAATTTGAAAAAAACAGCTGTTTTCATTTTAGTATTGACTTCTTTTTCATGATTGATTACTCGAACTATGAAATCTATATTTGCAAATTCAATTACTTACATTAAGTATTGTATGATAGACACTCAGGACAATCTCCAGTCAGAGACGTCTCCGAAAAACTGGAAGTTAAATTGTTTTCATTCACTGTACCAGTGAACCCTTTCTGTAGCCGACTTAATTACTCCATCATACACGTACTTAGGTTGGTGGCCGTCGGGAACTTTGCCACTAAGTCACTAATGTGTTGGATTACACCTACATGTAGGCAATACGGGACCTTATCTAATGCAGGTCTTAGCTTACGCAGCAGCCTCTCACTTTAGTTCTATTTCTTACCCCTACGTCACTCTTACAGGATCAATAAGACCTCCTCTATACAATTTATTGGTAGTTTTTTCGCTTTTAACAAAAATATCCTCAATAATATCTCAACATGAATTTTCCTCAATGTGTACCTTGTGTGCGTACACCCTTTTTCCTTTACATTACGATTTCCGTGTAATAGGGGCAGGGTCCTATCGTTATAGTATACATTATTGTGCGTTATAAAACGTCTTACTTAAACTGGAAACATAGATTTCTGAACTGAAAAGAAATACGCGGTAACACATTACTCATTTTGAATGATACACATTATTATACACACGTTGGTCAATTGATCTCCCAGGTCGAACTATGTATACACGTTTTGGATCTAGATAAGTAACAGTATCGGGATCAGTCTTGGTATGTAAGAATTAGGTGGGACACTATACCTTTTTAACTTTTCCGACTTTGCATAAATCACGATCGACCTCGCTTGTGGTGAAAAATGTTAGATTTTGCGTGTTTTTTGCTAAAAGTGAATGACAGCATGGCGATGGGTTGACGATGCGGGTCCGTATGGGCAGTGGGCCCGAGGCGGGTCACACGCGAGTGCGCCGTGTCAGGGCCGGCGCCGGCACGTCACGGGAGCGACACGTTATTGTCCAGTACGCTGCACCGCCTGCGCTCCGCCTGCGTAGCGACGCACACTTTTATCACTTCTCCGGTAATTAGTCGGAGTAAATGGGCCTTACACTACGTCATAATTGCATTACATTGTGCGATGGCAGCGGGGAGAATGTGTTTGGTAGAGTTTATAAAAGATCGTCAGAGTTACTTGATGATCATGACTCTGTAATCAAAAAACTTTTATCCTCTTGTACTGTTCCTTATCTGAAAAGGATGTGATTATATGGTGTTCAGAGATATTGCCTATACTAGAGTTTTACAGCTCCATAATGTTACAGTGTAAACTACATGAGTATTTAGTTTTACCGTCGACTTAAGTCTAACATTACTTCAACCCGACCTTCATTTATTTTTTTACCTTTTTTAGTATTATGTCAAGTGTTAACATTTTCAGGAAATGTTTAACCAGTAAGCGGCCAGTATATAATCCCTCAAAGAGATTCTGAAACCAGTTTCCGCAGTACTTAATGTTTCAAAGAGGCTGAGTTCGTGTTCTATTCCTGTTTCTTAATCAACTGTAATCCGTTTACTAATCTAGAAGTAACCACAAAAAGTTTCTATCGGCGCGTTATCTTAAACCAATAGATTCCCTCGGGGCCGACAGCTTAAGTAGTGTCAATTGGGCAAGGGGGACCTCTGATAAAACCTTAAAAGCCTCCCGTATCGGCGGGCTAAGTGAGGAGTGAGAGGCTCGCGCACTCTCCCGTGATCTCACACCCGTCGCCGGGGCGCTCTCTTTATTGTTTATTTATACTCCGCAAATGTCTGGATAAGTAAATTGAGAAGTTTGTCTTCTTTGAATTCTTTACTTGTCCGACTATTGGCAGCCACTGAGGTACTTTTTACCTAAGATTTACTGTGTAATGATAACGCGGCCGCGGGCGGCGCAGCGGAGGCGAGTCAGCTGTT